CCCCAGCACTGACCAGTTGAGGGTGCCTCAAGTCAGGCTTCTTGAGCATCTATCCCACTCTCTCACATGGGTCTACCTAGCCATCCCCATAAGCTCTTACCGTTACCTCCTAGCTGTTCCTGCTGCAGCTCAGCTAAGTGATGTTTCTGCCTGGGCTGGCACCAGCTGACTGCAGCCTTTATATACTGGGTTCTCAAAATGGCTGCTGCCATCAGGCACTTGCTGACCCAGCCCTTAAAGTGGCAGGCACCAACAGTGCCCTGCCACAAGGTACCTGTGGGATTTGTAGTGCACAGCTGCAGCCAGCACTAAGTAAGCAGCAGGACAGCTCCATACTTGGGGAAAGATGAATTTAACCCCTCTCCCTGGACCCAGCCCCTAGCTGGGGTTTGCCTGGGGTGAAGGGCAGCAGTGAACCAGCCAGTGAGGCCAGTGAGCCAGCTCTCACTTCTCTGGCTAGGGATCAGAGGGGTGGGGCCAGCCCTGCTCTCTGGAGCAGACAGCATAGCCCAGCCCAGCCCAGGGCTGCAAAATGTTGGGATGCTGCGTGACTCTGATTTAACTTAAGCCAGGAATGGGTCAGGGACAGAAGTTTTATAAACTGGGTTGACCTAAATCAGTTAAGTCTGATACTGCATTCAACCAGGTTTATCTTAAACCAGTTTCAGCCATCTAAACCAGTTTCTTATCACTGAAACCAGTTTGTGTAACTTCTGTCCCTCACCTGGCTGGTGCCAGGCTATTTGGCATGATATATACAGCCTCTTGTCATAAAAGGCTCAAAACTCAAGAGAAATTGCAGGTCAGAAATGAACTGCAATAGCTTAACTATGAGAGTAAAGCTGCTGCACAAGGCCTATGTGGCATACTGCCAAGGATGTTCATCACTTAGTTTCCCTTAGAAGTCTGCAGGGAGTACAACATGCTGTCAGACAGTGTACTTCATAAGGTAGTGCTCCTAGTGTTAAATCCTGTAAAAGTTTAGGGTTTCCTTGATGTTTGGAGCCGAGATAGGAAAGGAGTGAAGAATGAGTATTGGTTATTTTCAAACTCCTAATTCTAATCTTCACTGCTACGAAAGGCCATGTGAACATGATTCTGATGTAAATCAGAAGTAATCCTATTAAAGTCAATAAAGTTAATGGGCAGAGTGGGAGGAGACTTGAGCTCACCGAGGTCATCCATCTCTACTTTGCTTCCTCTCTAATACCACCTATCAGAAACATTTGTAAAAGTAGGCAGTGGGAAAACATGAATATCAAATTTGAATTGTCTGTGCTTTATCTGACAGTGCATATGGACTGAATCCTTCTCTCAGTGAAGTGAGTAGGAGTTTTGCCTTTGATATCAATGAGAACAGAATCAGACCCTTTGTGGCGGCCGGTTGCTTTTCTTTGTCCTTAAACTGCACATTTACTTTTGCAACTCCAGCTCCTGCTCTCTATGGGTATGTACAGATGTGTGCTACACCCAGACTATGATCATGCAATTTACTTTAAGCTGCATGATTGTAGATTAGGAGCAGCATGTGCAGACATTTGCCTGTGCTGGGAGCTATGCCAGGAAGTCAATATTAAGTAACATGGAGTAGGAAAAACTGGGAGGGGCTAGAGGGGGCATTGACATGTTTGAGGGGGTTGGCAGAGCTAAAAGCGAGGTAATGAGGGGGTAGTTGGTGGGCTAAAAATGGTTCAGGTTGGGGGGAGAGGGGGCATACAAAGAGCATAGCCCTGAGACTAGAATGAGTGGCTAGGCTTTCCTAGGACTGTGCTCTGAATGTGTGAATACTAGCCCATTTCTGATCTAAATTAGTTCACCTCTTCAGGTGAACTAATTTAGATTGGACCCACAGTTTTTTACTGATTTAACCTTCCCACGTGTCTGCACATTCAGGGATTTAGGTCAATCTAAATGTAACATTTGCACGTACCCTCTATTGCCTATAGGGACTCTGCTTTGTTCTTCCTGTCCATCTCTTATAGTTCATTTATTTTTCTCCACACTAACTTTCCTGTGGTCTGCCTTACTTTCTTAGCAGTGCCGTGGTACTTCAGGAAGCCTGCCCTTCCTTACTCATCTTTATTAGATCTTGTTAAGTCGGGTAAATCTTCCAACAGCATGCGAATCAAAGACAACCAGTGCTCCTTTTAGCAATGGTCAATATGAAAAACAGAGGATCAGCCCCAGATTCTCAAAGGCAGTTAGGCTCCTAACATCCTTTGAATTCAGTAAGAGGTAGATCTTTGAGAATCTGAGCCCTAGGCTATCTGGTCCTTAGAGATATGTTGTGTTCTGCTATGGATAGCAGAAATGAACAGCAGACATTTTAAAAAATTCTAGCTACCTGACATATTTTTGCAGATAGTCGAAACTGAGATTTGAGGTGTTGGCAGCTATGGCAACAGCAACAACTGGATAATCATTGATAGAGTAGGAAATCAGAGAGGCTGTGGAGGTGAAGCCCACCATCTCAATGCAATTGGGGTACTACTGCATGCCTGTGCTAGTGGTCTCCTAGCCATTAACGCCCATAAAACCCTTTATTTTAATCTGATGGAACTACAGCTGCAGAATCACTCATACACTCTTGACATTTCAAGCCCCTCTATTCTTAATTAGGATAAATAATGCATCTCACTGCTGTTCTAGCATGGTAAATTTTGAGTATATTTGAATATCTGCTGAATCTAGCATGTAAGTTCCAAACATTTCCTCAATGAAAGTTTTAAGTACCTACCGGGAAAAAAGGCCTTCTTGGCAATGTATGCTTGTAATAATTTCATCTATTTATCCCACAGTTGTTTGAAATTAAACCATCAAAATGTTTTACCTTGGATGATGCTGCTGCTTGACTCTGCATATTTTTGAGCAGGCTTTGAAGCCACTTCATTACAATATGAAATGTCAATGTATGGACATGTCTGAGAGATACAAGTACCCTTCTTTTACTGGGTTTTTTTTCTGAGCAATTTCTGAGAAAGAATCTATATGCAGCTCAATAAATTACTGAATTGAGTTTTACTCAATTACTAAATTTTACTAAAATGACTAAATTTTGAGTTTTTGTGTACTCCACAAAAGTATTATTCATTCACATCATAACAAGTTATTCCATAGCATAGCAGTAAAAGCTGAAGCTGTGCCAATGAAATACACTGTAAATAAATAAATCAACCTAATAAATAATTAATATCCCTGCCTGGAGTTATCATCTCCCCCATTTGTTACTGTTTAATGTTATAAACAGCCTTGACATTTATTTTGGCTCAGAGGTAAACTTAGTCTTTTAGAATATGTTCCAAGTGGACGCTGAAAAAAATGATCCCAAAAGCTAAAGGTTCACTATTCATAGATTTATAGATTGTAAGGGCTGGAAGGGACCTCGTATGATTATCGAGTCCAACCTCCTGCCCTGGGCAGGAAAGACGACCTTAGCTAGGTGCTTGTCTAGTCTCCTTTTGAAGATCCCCAAGGTAGGGGAGAGAAACAAAATGCATTGGTTGATAAAGGAAAAAAAGGGAGTTACCAAACTACTCTGCTTAAGAGGAATGTTTAATATTTTGTTTTGATGACTAGGAATCTTTAGGTGGTCCATCAATCTGGGTAATTCAACACAATAGAGACTGTGTACATATTATCAGCATCTTTTTTTTTTCCTAACACAACATTCAACATCCACTTTTCCCTGCCTAATCAGCCCAGAAAATAAAGCAGCAGCTTTTCCAGGGATTCCTCCATCTCTTCAGGTGGGACTGTGATCCTAACACTCCATTCCTATCCCAAGAGGCTAGATAATAGAGAGGGTTAAAGACATTTGGCCATGGTTTGTGCCCTACTATTACTGTTTGAGAGTTTTTCCCTGAATTTTAATCTTAGCCTCCTTTGCTGTAGTTTAAACAAATTTCAAGTGTTTTAAGTGACTACTTTGTAAAAATGTGCAAACAAGATGACATAGAAAAGTACCTGCAGAAATGGGTAGGTAGGTGAACAAAAGTAGAATACTGAAGATTAGAGAACTATTGGGCATATTTACAACAAAAAGCAGCATAAGGAAACAGCAATAGGAATATCAAATACCTGCATTTTGCCACCAGGGAAAATAGTTTCTATACATTCTTTAAAGAAAATGGAGAGACTTGTACATTTTCAGCTGAAAGTAAACCAAAATCTGATATTGAAAGTCATGTAAGAAATAATCCTTGGGCCAGTCTGGAAGTCTGCATGGTGCTTTCAGCAGTTAGCTCGGGTCTAACAGTGTAAGACCCAACCTTAACAATACTAACTCACAAGGCTATTTTGTTTCTTTTGGTCACATAGAAGTTGGGCAGTCACCTGATTTGCTTAGGCACTCTTGTAAGCTACACTAGATGCCTGTCTACATCTTTAGCTTCCAAATGTTCTTTGTATTTCAGGTTGTCATTACAAAAATCAGACAGTCATGCAGTTGTGTGATAACTATTCATAAAAAGTATATTTACTTGGTTAAAGCAAGCAAATTTAAATCTGTATTTTTCTTGTGAGCAACTATGCAATGTCTGCATTTATGCTTACTATGCACAGTCACACAAGCAAACATAATTTGCTCTCTGTCTGAAATTTGTGTCTCAGATATGATATCCAAGGGAAGATGTTCATGACCAGTTCTCATCTTGTAAGCACTTTCTTGTAACCATCCACTTAATTAAACATGACAGGTTGCACTCCTAAGAGAAAATGTTCTGTGCAAAGTTAGAACAACTGGACAAACTATTTCCATTAGTTGCAAGTATATGCAATATGCAAGAAATATGCCCTGAAAGAAAACATTTCAAATTATGGCTTTGCCTTAAATACGGTGCTACGTGTAGGTGCAGGGGATAAGAGCCTTTGTATTTTAGGCAAAATTTGCTCTAATACCCAGTTTAATTGAGGGCAGAGGCAAACAAGACTATTCCTTGCTCAGAATAAAGACCTTTTTGCAATCTACTTCTAGATAAAATAGACAATAAAAAGATATTAACCTCGGCTTCAGTGTTGTGGGCAACATTTCCATTTTGTACTGGTCTTGAATCAGTTGGTGGTGTTATTGCAACTTCCACTTTTGCAGCATTTGGGAGTTCAATTTTTTCTGTTAGATCATCCATAAGCAGGGGTGGAGGGGCAGAGGAGAACAACAATATATAACAAATTAGTAACATTGCTTTTAGTCTATGTGAATTATCAAGTGCTACCAGTAACATTCATAAAAAAGATAAATTCTGGACTTAGTTACATTGATGCAATTACTCCAGAGAACAAACTTTCATACATGTAAATTAGAGTCAAATTTGGACTAATGAGGGGGTTGCCTAGATAAGGGATGAAGAAGCTGTTCCAATGTTACTTGTGTTTTTTAAAAGAGCTCTTTAAATTCTTAACTGTAACTTAGGACCTATTTGGTGCTCTTTACTCATGTCATACTCTTGCTGAGCTGTGGTAAATCTAACAGAATTGAGTCAAAACTGACACTAAACCATTCTTCATAAAGGATAATAAAATATAAGATTCTCTGCTGGCAGGTGGTGTGTGCGATAAACTCATGAAGATATGGAGAAACTTGACTTGCATATTTTTCCATCTGCAATTAGTAAAGCTGGAGTTCTGTTAGAGTTGCCATGGAACTCACAGGTGTTATGACTATAATATGATCTGAAATATTTGTGACTTGACATTTGGGGATGTCTATATGCAAAGGATAGGTGGTGAGGAGTTGTAAAAATGAAACCTCTGAGAACTACCAAATTAGATCTTGCACTGCTCTGCAATTCTACCATGACAAAAAGGCTGGGTCAGTGAGGTTTTTTTGCAAAAGCTAGTCTACAATTTTGTCCCTAGTTGATGCATTAAATAAGAGAGTCAGTTTAAAAATATGGAAGTTGGTGTTTAAAAATTAATTTTGTGCAAATTCCTGTCTTCAGAATTGTCACTTTTCTCATATGACATTCACATTCTTTTTACTTGCACCATGAATGGAAAAAGCAAAGGTACTAAACAATACCCAAGTTTTCCAATAGTCTTACAAATAAAGTCCTCATGAAAATGTCCTGCCAGGATAAATGGGAGATAGTAGGGAACAGGGGGCTCTGGCCCTATATTTATTCAGTTCAGTTCTTTTCACCATGATTCACCTGGGATTGTTCTAAACAAGAAGCATGACAAAAACTCTTATTCAAAAAGAGTAGTGGTCAGATGTCCTTGGATAATCAGATGACATGAGAAGGAGCAACAAACAATTACTTGAACAACATGCATTTTATAATATCTTGCCACAGAAAGAAGTAAATATAACTGTGTGACTTGCATTACTGCTGTGGTCATGTTCTTTCTGAATTAAAATCCAAGATTCACAAGTGCAGTGCAGAGCTCAGGATAGGTATGATTATTTCCCTGCTTTTAAGTCTTCCTTCTTCCCAGCAATATGATGCATTAACAAAACATTCTCAACTAATTGCTTGACTCTGTAGGCAAAGTGTATCTAAGTCTAGCACAAGGTCAGGGCAAGTGTTAACTGATAGCATGGATTCAGTTTTTATCAGATACATTTCATAGACTTTTTTTGTTGAACATTCAGTGGTAAGGCAGTGGCTAAAGGAGAGGTGACTGTAAGGATTTTTTCTTTAACAACTACACATGACTTCTGAGCTGAAAGACACATTCTTATCCTTTGTGAAATGCAGAGCAAACAACTTAGTGCAACAGCCATGTACAGGGCCAGAGGTGATGGAATTTTTCCAACCCATTGTCAGGATATAGACGAGCTATCAAACTATACCTCCTATTGTTGACTCCAGCTCATAGGAGCGACTGAACTCCACTATGCAATAGGGACACAAAATTGTGGCTACTGGATATGCAATGAGTGTGAACCTAGCGACTGTGACCCTGTTCTACCCCTGGGGTAGCCCAAATCTTTGCCCTACAAGAGAGATACCTCAAAGCAATTACTTGAAATATTCTACAGTTGATAAACCCATATCTGTACCTTTCTTCTGCAAGACAGAGCCTTTGCTCTTGAGACTTTGCATGCCAATGCAAGATATCCAGGTTTTGCTTCTGAGAGAATGAATCATTCACAGCAGCAATGTGTCTCTTTGAGGGCTTTTGAGTTTACATGGTAGATTTCAAGTATGTTAGTCTTTTTTATGGCAGCTGTTGAATTACATATGCCACATCATGCACACATCTTGCTCATGAATGTGAAAATTGTATGCAGTATTACAAACTACACAGCGTAGATCTCAGGGAGCATTTTGTACATTCAGAGTACTCACCCAAAGCATACGTCCCTGGTACTGCCATAAAGAAATACATAATCGTGATCAAAATGGTTTTTTCAATTGTTCCTGTCAAATTTCTGTGAAAACCCATGGATTTGCATGAACATAACTGAGAGCATAAATTGTCTTCCTATTCCCATTACTTTTAATTCTACATATTTCCATAATTAGTGTTTCAGCCTTGCACAATGGCTCCCTGGATGCTTTTTTTGGCTTTCTTTTCATACATAGGAGCTCCCATTCAATCTGATGGGGCAGAGTTTCAGGCAGAATCCTGTAGAGAGTCAGAATAGTCTTTAATAATTCATTATAGATGAATCAGAGAGGAAAATTTAGCCACAGAAAGAATATGGAGCTTTTATCTAGGGCTCATAACAAATTACTAGGCCTAAAATTAAAGTAGATACATTGTTGTATGGTTTCATACGACAGATAATCAGCCAGATTCTTCACTTGGTTATGCCAAGAGTTCCATCCTGAGCCCAGTGGCCCATCAAGCTAACATAATTAGGACATACTGGTAGCAAATTAAATGCTGAGCAGTTACTATGTATGCACAGTAAGGCACATGTAGACAGCTGGCAAGAAGCAAATTTGCTCCCGGTCAGCCAGGCAGCAGCGGGTGGGTGATTGCCCCCTGCCCATTGGAGCTCCCTGCTGCTGGAGCAGGCTCTGGTGGCAGAGTCTGGGTGGAGACAATGTCTCTATGTCCCAGCAGCAGGGAGCTCCCAGTCCCTGCTCCACGATCAGGAATCCCTGCCTAGCCGGGGCTCACTGCTAGCTACCACACTGGTAGATAGGGGCAGGGGGCTGAGACCTGCCCCTCCCCTGTAGCTCTTTCCAAGTCCCCTGCTCCCAGTCAGGGAGCTGAGGCCAGAAGCTCCCTGCTGTTGGGGCAGGGAGACATTTCCTCATGCTAGGTTCTGCCCCAGCACTAGGCAGCTCCCAGAGGCAGGGAGCAATCTCCCAGCTCCTGCCAAGAGACAGCTGTCTCCTGGCCCCATGCTCTCTGCCATCCCCTGGGCTAGCACCCAGAGGTAGTCTGGAGATCCCCCTGGCTGCTGCAGGGCGGGCAGAGCAGGATGGGAATGGCCATCTCTGGGCTGCCCCTGTTTGGAGCAAATCTGCTCCCAAATGTGTGCACATGTAGACACCTGCCCAGGATGTGTAGATGGCTCCACTGGGTTCTGTAACCAACAGCACAGAAGGAAATGGTTGGTATCATGGTCACTTGCTTTGACCCTCTAGCCTAAATGACCAGGTACCCTTTCATATCTGGGTCAGCTTGGAAGTAGCCTTTGGTGCAAGTCTGGAGCAAAGATCAAACTGGCATGTCTACATGAGACATTTACTGTGGAGCCAACTAATTAGTTCTGCATTAAACATCTCAGCATCTACATATGCCTATTAGGGCACAGGAGACTAATGAACTCTGCAGCAGGGTAGTACTTGTATATACAAGTAGCAGCAGCACACCTGTAGATGCTGCCCTGGCTGGCTGGGGCATGAGGGTGCTTCAGTGTGGGGGTTGCCTGCTGGCTAGTCCTACATTGAAGCATCCTTGTGCCCCAGCCAGGCCCTCTGCAGCACATTGAACCCCGTTGGAGTAGTCCTGGGCTGGCAGGCTGACCTCCCAAGCACCCTGCTCTGACCTGGCTCAATGTGCTGTGGTCTGGATGCACATGCAAAAATCCTGGGAGCTTCCTGGGAGCAATAAACTACAGAACAATAACCTCTAAAAAGTTTATTCATGCACTGTAATGGCACATTTGCAGATATGTCTCTCTTCTCATTTGCAGGTACTAACTGCTGTGGAAAACCAGGCTTCTATTATAAGTCCAAATATGGATTTGGGGTCTATTTTTAGGTTCCCAAGCTGATATATTTCCTCTTTTTCGGGTAAGTAAATGGTATATATACCCTTAGCCAATAAAAATAATTTGGAACTCCTATACTCACCATGATTAGCAGCCCCATTCCGTCTTTCACTGTCTTCTACCTGGCACTTCTTTTTGGCAATCTTATGAAGAATTGAGGCTCTCTCTCTGAATTTTCCTTAAAAAAAACACATTATCATTGTTGAAGTGCATCCATTCTGAGATTTTTTGTAGTAAATTTTGCCTCAGGACTCAAAACCAATAAGTTATTTCTATCCAACTGAATGAGCTAACATATTATTAATCATTAGCCGACTTTCCAGCATCTACAAATTGTGATTGCTTATGTACTTAAGAATTTAAAAGATGCCAGCTGGTGCTTTAGAAATCAAAGAAAATGAACTACTAAATTATTTTTTCTGGTAAAGCGTTCAATCAGGTTTTCATAAAAAGGTACCAGTGTAAACCATTCAACACAAATTATATAATAAATCTATTTTAAAGAAAAGGGTTATTTTGAGTCTGCTAGAGCAGTGCAATAACCAAAGAATTTCATGGGGTTCCATGAATAAGGAACACTGGAACTGGCATACTAAAGACAACATGTGGCCAATCTAGTCCAGTATTTTATTCTCAGTGCAGGACATGCCCAGAGACTTCAGAAAAAGGTGCAAGCATTTTCATTAATGAACAACTGCTGTATAAACTTCCTCATAGGGAAATTTTCTTTCCAACTTCTGTGTCCCCAACCTTTCACATGTCTCTGTGGTTGGTCCACAACCTGCAGTATTATGATTCCATCCTAATATCTGTGTTTGTGCTCTTTCTCTATGAAACTTTTTTCTAAAACCAGTCACATGGCATAAAGGCAAATTTTTCCATTCCCTGCCCAACCCAAACACCCACTGAAATCAGTTGGAATTAAGGGGGCACAAAGTCTGCAAGTTTTAAACCAAAAGTTATTGAATTAAAAAGCATTATTACTCAAAGGATGCATTATATTAATACACCATTAGTAACAACAGGAAGCACAGAGACGTTATGCATACAAAATCTTTGATTTAGATATCAGTGTTTCCAAAAGTAAATCAAAATTACATTAAAGACAGGCAGTGAATGAAATGGAAGAATGAATTATCAGCTAATAATAAACAAATATCCCCCTTCCCACCAAAATGTCAATGTTTTAGAAAGCAGAATATCACAGTGGAATGACAGCATGCTAATACAGAAAGGGGCAAGTAGCTATCATTTAGGGAAAAACAGAATGAATCTGTCAGTCACAATATAAGGTAAATGATAATAAAGAGACCTTATTACAAGCTCTGAATACTACCCTTTCAGCTCTACATATGTTACTAACAAAATATCACACTGTAAAATAATATCTGACCATCTAGAAAAACAGCAGAAAATACCACAAGCAATTTTCTTATCCATTACAAAAATAGTTAATATGGAAGTATTGGAAATTCTTTGCTGTATCATGGATATGGTGAAATAAAATAGCCAAAAGACCAGAGGAATACTGAAAACCAAGATGCCAACCCTCACTTCAGTGCACAGGATCAATGTGAAAAAATAAAGTTCAAACACACAGAAGATAACAAGACAAAGTGCAGAAACAGAGAAAGGAAATATCTGAAGTCTGAGTTGACGTGAAAAGAGAAAGGAAAAGGGAGAAAACCAACCAGAATGGTCTTGCCAATTATTTTATACTGAAATCCTGAAAATGTTAAGTCCATTTCCATTGAAAATATTTTAAAGTGTTTCTAGAGAAATGTGATGTAATTTTGCATGTCCTGACTGACCTGATAGAAAATGTGATGCATTTCCATAAACTAGGGAGGATTTGTGTTTGCATGCATGCAAATACACAAGGTTACATACGTGCATGGTGGGGAGTGGCACAGTGTGCAAGTTTAGTCTGCAAACACTTTTTGAGGAGCCAGCTTGTCATGTCCCATGTGTATTGATGAACTTTTGGGAGCAAGGGAAAATGAAAGAAGGAGGATTTTTTTTATAATCTCAAATTGTATTTTGTATGTAATGTTATTCATCAGTTTCTTTGCTGAAATTTCAGCCTGTATTCTAAAATTATTTCCCTTTTGGCATTTATACTTGTAGGTGTGGGTCGGCTGTATGTCCCCTCTCTTCCCCAGGACTCGCCTGTCACGATTAAGATAGTAAAAAGATTTAGATGTTAATCCCTGAGGGGAGAGGGTGAGAAACACCAGACCACCTGGGTGTTAGTTTCACCATGTTTCACCTATCTTTATTAAAGTGGATACAATGTAGCGGACTACACAATTGCCTCATTAAGATGGAAGCAGCTGTATCACCGCTTAGTTGATTGCAGCTTCCCTGCTGCTCTGTGCCCGATTGCGGCTGTCTCTCTGCTGCTCCCACTGAGAGCTGGTTGTCTCTGGGGATCCTTCTTTGGGGTCTGGTTCCCCAGCCTTCCCAGGGTCTTGCCAGCCACCCGTCAGCTCCTGTGCCCTGAGTGAACTTTCCCTGTAGCTCCCTTCCCAATCACGGCTGTCTCTCCGCCGCTTCGTTTGAGAGCCGGTTGTTTCTTGGAGCTCGGTCTCCAAGGGCCGCATTCCCAACCTCCCTGGGATCCTGCCAGATGACTGCTGGCCACTGCCACCTGGGGTAAGTATCCCCCGTCTCACCGGTCTGATGTCCGACTTGCTTGCCTTGCTCACAGCATCCTTCTTGCTCCATTAGCTTTGCAGCAACTACTCTGCTTCACTCCAGTGCCCTGAGGGCAACCGCTTGATTTCTAGCCCGAGCCCCTGTTACACACCTCCCCCATTTTGTTCAAAGAAACTTAAAGTTGCTGAGTCTTCGCAATCCTCGGCATGGTCGGTCGGACCCTTCGCCCTTTCACCGGTATCTGTTGTGTCTTCAGTGCGTGACAGGAAGTCAATATTCCTGCTCTTCTTTCCCGCCCAGTGCTTCACTGTAAAATAAAAGGATTGTGTAGCGAGAGACCATCTCGTTAACCTAGTGTTATCTAGCTTGGCTGTTCATAGCCAGCGTAGGGGTGCATGGTCTGTGATTAGTATGAACTTCTGGCCTACTAAGTAATAATGAAAGAGTTCCACCCCCCCACCAGATAGCCAGGCATTCCCTCTCAGTTGTGGAATATTGGGTTTCTGTGGGTGTCAGTTTTTTGCTAGCAAAGGCTATTCGTCTCTCTTCTGCCCCTCCTTCTTGAAAGAGGATAGTTCCTAATGCAGTGCCGGAGGCATCCATTTGTTAAAAAAAAAAGCATCTTTTCAAAATTTGGGGTATAAAGCACTGGGTGCTGGCATAGGGTTGCCTTAACTTGTTTGAAGGCTAGGATGGCCCGTGGGTTCCACTGGATCCAGTTCCTCCATCCTCTGGTCATCTCTATCAAGGGCGCCACCTTCTCTGAAAAATCCTTGATAAAGCACCTGTTGTAGTTGGCAAAACCAAGAAAAGACCGTAGCTGTCTGAGTGTTTGAGGCAAGGGGCGTCGTTGTATGGCTGCCACTTTATTAGCTATGGGCTTTATTTTTCCCTGTCCAACCATGAGCCCAAGGTACCGGGTCTCTCTCTTTCCCAATGCGCACTTCCAGTGATTCACAGTCAGCTCAGCCTGTCAGAGTTCATTGAGGATCTCCCATAGGTGGTGGCAGTGTGTTTCCCAGTCACCAGAGAAAACAATGATGTTGGCAATATATACGGCCGCATATTCTTGATGGGGTGCCAACAGTTGGTCCATCAGGCGCTGGAATGAAGCTGCCACCTCATGGTGCTCAAATGGCATCCTCCTGAATTGGAATAAGCCCCATGGGGTTCCAAAGGCAGTTTTTTCCTTTTCGGTCAGTGCCATCGGGATCTGCCAATAGCCCTTTGTGAGATCCAAGGTCAAGATGTATTTGGCTTGGACTACCTTTTCCAACATATCCTCTACCTGGGGCATTGGAAAGGTATCGAACGTTGCTATTTTGTTTACCTTGTAAGAATTGATGCACAACCTAATAGAGCCATCTGCCTTCAGGACCATCACCACCAGGCTTCTCCAGGGGCTCCTAGATTCCTCAATGATGCCCAACTTCTTCATCACATCAACCTCCTGCTTGACTGCGGGCCACAGGTGCTGAGGTAGCTTCATCCAATGATTGTGTACGATCTGTCTGGGTGGGGTCTGGATGTGATGTACTACTCCCTGGGGTTCCCCCAGGATCTCACAGAACACATCACAATATTCGGTTATTAAGGTCCCCAAATCTTTTGCTGTTCGAAGTCTAGTCAGTTATCTACCTCAGGTCTTGGTGGGGCCTCCTCCAACCTCCAAGTTTCCCTATCCCCTTCTAGTTCTTCACATTCAACTGGATCCTGTGTCATCCACCACTCCCTTTGATGCCACTTGTTCAATAAGTTAACGTGATAGATTTGTTTTCTCCTGGTGGGCTCCATCCGAAGGACCTCGTACTTGACGGGCCCTGTACGCTTAGTTACTTGAAACAGACCCTGCCATTGACCTAATAACTTGTGTAGACTATCAGGTAATAGCACTAGCACCCAATTTCCTGCCTTCAGCTCTCTTTCTGCGGTATGCATGTCATAGTGCTGTTTCTGTCTCTCTTGCCTCTGTCCCAGATTCTGTTGAGCTATCATCATGGCCTTCTTTAATCTGTCCCAAATGTCAGTCACAGCCTGTGGTGGTGTTGTCCCCACAGGCCCGGTTTCCCACCATTCGTGGATCATATCCAGGAGTCCCCTTGGGTCACGACCAAAAACCAACTCAAATGGGGCATAGCCGGTGGATGCTTGGGGGACTTCCCTGATTGAGAACAGAAGGGGGGGATCATCACATCCCACTCCCAAGGGTCACCCCATATGCATGTCCATATCATCCCTTTTAGTGTCCGATTGAAGTGCTCCACCAGTCCTTCCCTCTGGGGATGACAGATGGAGGTTCTGAGTTGTTTGATTTTCAGTGTGTTGCATATCCCCCTCAGGATTTTGGACATGAAGTTTTTGCCTCAGTCAGTGAAAATTTCCCAAGGGATTCTGACCCTTGTGATCCATCTCATGAGAGTACTAGCTATCATGGGGGCAGTCACTGAGCATAGGGGCAAAGCTTCAGGAAACTGTGTGGCATAATCAATGATTACCAAGATGAATTGGCGGCCTGTCCAG